AGCAACCATGGCTGAGGTTTCCATTCAGACACCCGAAAGGCTGCTGCGGATCAAAGCAAGGGGAGGATGAATGGGAGGAAGGAGGGATGGCATCTTTCTCCATGGCGCTTGTCAGAGGGAGAGAAGGGCAGCTGGGGGGGGATGCTTTAGAAAAGGGGGAGTCGAGAAACCATCAGGAAATCGCCTTTTTGGGGGAATGAGAACCCCAAAAAATGAGGATGGAAGGAAGGTGTTTCAACGACTGGGCACGGGGAGGGCCCTGGCTTGGCTCCAGGGAGGCGTTATTAAAGACCATGTTGGAAGAGGACCAAGAGAGGGAGGAAAAGGGGGAAGGCTTCCCCTCCTCTTGCATCTGGAAGGATTGGGACCTCTGCTCCCCTCCCTCGCCTGCTTCTTCTAAGCTCCTTGCATGGAGTCTTGCAAGCTTGCACTCTGCCCCTTTCGGAGAGGGCTTCATCCAGGCATCCCCCATACCATCCATCGGAGGTTGGGTGACCTTTTGGATCTGCCCCTCTCTGTTCCGTCCCCGAGAGAATTGGGTTTCTTACCCTTTCAGATTTCGTGTTTAACCGAGATGATGCCTTCTGACTTTGGAAGGATGGGGAGCCTTCTCCATTTCCAAAACCTCGGGGAACATCCTTGGGGGGTCTCTCTCCACGAGGAGACCTTCGCCCCTGCACAACATCCTTCCATTTTGGCTCCAGGAAAGAGGAATTGTGAATCAATGAAAGCCACCTGGGGGTGGGGTGGGGGGGTTGGGTGGAAGAAGGCAATCTTTTTATTTGCTAATTTCCCTAATTTTGATGTTGGAGACGGTGGTCATTTGCAATGACAAACATGGTCCATTTCATTCTGGGTGAGCTTGGCATTGGCAATACAATGACAGGATCATCTTTTTCTTTCTTGTTTGTCTTCTCATTTTCCTTTGATAACAGAGATGTACCTATTATACTCGAGCTATTATTTTTCCACTGACAAAATACTATTTCTCTGAATATTCACCATCCATAAAGAAATCCAGGATCATAAATGCATGTTTGGGTTAAAAGGCGTGAAGTCTCCCCATAACGTACATTGGCCCCTACATCTGTTTAGAATCTATTGAATAAAGTGAAAGGCAGTTGTTTATTATTATTATTATTATTATTATTATTATTATTATTATTATTATTATTATTATTATTATTATTGTTGTTGTTGTTGTTGTTGTTGTTGTTGTTGTTGTTGTTGTTGTTATAATATCATTATTATTATTATATCATCATCATCATCATCATCATTATTGTTGTTGTTGTTGTTGTTGTTGTTGTTGTTATTGTTATATCATCATCATCACCACCACCACCACCACCACCACCACCATCATCATCATCATCATCATCATCATCATCATCATCATCATCATCATTATTATTATTATTATTATTATTATTATTATTATTATTATTATTATTATTATTATTAGTGTCAAATTGCTTCTGATTTTGGGAATCAGAAGCAGTTTTCATCTTTGGGTGGCCCCTATCCAGTCCTGCTCAGGTCTTTCAAAATAAAGGCCGTGGCTTCCTTTATGGAGTCAGTACCTCTCACATTCCTCCTCTTCCACTTTCCTAGTATCCTTATCTTTATCCAAGCTTGCTCAGGTCTTTCAAAAATAAAGGCTGTGGCTTCCTTTATGGAGCCAATCCATCGCACATTCCTCCTCTTCCGCTTTCCTAGTATCCTTATCTTTATCCAAGCAGTGATTAGTGGGGTAATGATAAGACTGCTTCCTTTGGCATTTTTGAGATTTCTTCTTAACAGAGGAAAATCACCAGCTCGACGGAGCCCAGCTTCTCAGGAGCCGAGGTCCATATTTTCTTACCCCAAATCCTTTAATACCAAATCAGGCTAGTGCAGGATATAACGCTTGAAATGCTAGCGGTGCATTAGAATACATGCTGCTTATGTGGGAGAACATGTTAGCATGGAATGATTTGTTGTTGTTTAGTCGTTAAGCCGTGTCCGACTCTTCGTGACCCCATGGACCAGAGCACGCCAGGCCCTCCTGTCTTCCACCGCCTCCCGGAGTTGGGTGGAATGGAATGATTACCTTTCTTGCAAAGCTCTGATGCAAAGCCTACGTTGAGGCAGCCGGGATTTCCAAACTGTTCCCCATTGGAAATTGTTGTCTGTTTCCAGGCAGAAAGATGGCTGCCTCGTCCTCTTGCAATCTGGACGACGACGAGAGCCTGAAGGGATGTGAGCTCTATGTTCAGAAGCACAACATGCAGCAGATCTTGAAGGAGTGCATCGTGAACCTGTGTATAGCAAAACCCGACCGGCCGATGAAGTTCTTGCGAGAGCACTTCGAGAAACTGGAAAAGGTCAGTCGTTGGGGAATAGACACTCCGGGCAAGGCAGACATGTTCTTAAGAGAGAGCAGGAAAAAAAAGGAAAAACACGCAGAGTGGAAACTATTGAGGAAGCTTCTTTCTGCCCACTTAAATCACGGGCGCACCACTAAAATGCAATGTTGGTCTTTGCCAGCCTTGCCTGAGGATGATGAGGATCAAATCTGTGAGCTTTCAATACACTGACATGTGCTCCATCTCTGAATCATGCCCCCTAAAAGCAGCTTCCTTTTATATGAAAACTCTCTGTAAAATTTCTGCTAGGAATGGGTTTAAAAGGCCTCTCTCTCTCTCTCTCTGATGTAATTATAATATTGTCTGTTTTCTTTAAGAATTATAGTGCTGGCTGTATTGCACAACCATTTTGTATTAACATTTATTTTCATGGGCTGTGACCCAGTGGATTCCACTGACTTCTACACTTCGGCTAGGATTGATTATCTCCCTTTGCTTCTTATATTCCTCTTTATGCATCCTAAAAAAAAATCCTGTCAATATGGGAGTGGGAAAAACCCTCTGGAGCAGGTTTTTGAGACCACAACAGGTGGCGGGAGTCGTAGGAGAAGATAAACTCAATTCTGCTATTGTGGAATAACAAAGTAAGTTACTAGATCTTGGGCAAGGGGCTGTATTTGTGCTATATACCATATTTTTTCATGTATAAGACGCCCCCATGTGTAAGACACACACCCCTTTCTAATCAAAATTTAAGAAATTTAAGTAGGGCTTAGCAAGTGTAGGGGGAAAGGGATCAAAGCGCTGCAGGATCGCTTTGATCCCTGCTTTCCCCTCCACTTGTTTTTGTTCTCTCCTCAGCTTACTTCCGTGTATAAGACGACCCTCAATTTTTAGTCTAAAGATTTTAGACAAAAGTATAGTCTTATACATGGAAAATACGGTATGTACAAGTCACATTCTTGTGTTAAAGCCATCATCCCATTTTCTCCCAGGAATGTTTGTTGAATGGATTGGGATAATCCAGTTTTACTTAAACCATCTCCATTGTTGATAAGGAGTTGAGAAGACCACCCACAGTCTTACACTGTAAGTTTCAGAGGTGTGTGTGTGTGCGTTGCTTTGTGACGCAGAAGCCTGATTGATTCGGGACGTACAGGAACAACAAAGAGAAGTTAAAAAATTGTGATGCAGAAGCCTGATTGATTCGGGATGTACAGGAACAACAAAGAGAAGTTAAAAAAAAATAGGACATGATAATTTTGTAATGAACTACCTGGAGGAGCATATCTGGCCATAGGAACCTTCTCAATACTTGAAAATACTTAAAATTCTGAGAGGGGGCCCTTCTCTCAGTCCCATTGCCAGCGCAGGTACGGTTGGTGGGGACATGCGAGACAGGGCCTTTTCGGTGGCTGCTCCCAGATAATGGAATGCTCTTCATCGCAAAATCAGGCTCGGCCCCTCCCTTTTATCCTTCCACTGACCCACCTTTTCAGGCAGGCTTTTCACAGATACGACTGAGCCTCTGTATGCCATTTTTTAAAGTCAAGATTTTTTTAACGTGTTACCTGTTTTTAACTATCCACTGTATTTTGATCGCTTTTATAGTTGGATTGGATTTTTTAAAACAAATATCTCTTTACTTTCCCAAACAGAAATGGGGCTACAGAAGGGAAACGGACGAAGGGAAAAATAAAGCTTGAGGGGAAAAAGTCGGATTTAATTTAGTTTAATTGTTTTTGTTTTTACAAAATATATATCATATGTTTTTGCTTCTATTCATTTTAATACTGCGAAGCCCTTAAGTTCTCTTATCGGGAGAAAGGTGGCCTGTAAATGAAACAAATAAATAAATTCTGCTCCTCCTCAACATCATCATCATCAACAACAACAACCAGCCTTTGGGTTAGCAAGAGTGGTTTACAATAATTTGCCATGAGAGTAGCAGAGTCGCTGTTTTGTAAAGAAATGACTACTTCCTTTTCTTTTCTGACATAAATTCTGACAGAAACGGTTGCACAGATTTTCAGCACGATGTACAGTGGACCCTCTACTTACGGAAGTAATCTGTATTGGAACGGTGGCTGCATGTCGAAAAGTCTGTAGGTCAAAGCTCCATTGACCTACAATGCAATGAAAACTGATTAATCCCATAACTGGCAGTTTTTATTCTATTTTTGTTCCATTTTGGCTTTTTTCTGGTCTGTAAGTCGATTCTCCGTCTGCAAGTCGAATCTAAATTTTGCGGCCAGAGAAGTCTGTAACTCGAAAAGTCTGTAAGTCGAGCCGTCTGTAAGTCGAGGGTCCACTGTAAATAAGAGGGAAATGACCTATAGCTGAGCACCTTTGGCTTGTTCCTCACTGGTCCCAAGCCCTGGGTTGATTTTGCAACCGTCTTCTCCTGAAATCTTAGCATTTTAAGAAACAAACAGGAACCCAGATGTGGTTCAAGGTATACCTTGGTGGTTTAAGAAGCAGGGGTCAGGAGGAGATCACAGGAGTGAAGGTTGAGCAAAGGGCCATTTTTTGATCTTTGGACCCGTGTTGATATGCTAGTTCTGATTGCCGTCATGTAAACCGTGAAGCTGGGGGAAAGTTAAGACTTAATCTGGCGTGAATGTCTTCTTTTATCTTGTGTCTCTCTTGACATTTGGGCAAAGGGGGTGATCTGTTCCCAGATGTGAAACAGACAACAGGGGATATCGCTAAACAGCTGAGCCCCAATGTTTAAACCTCATTTGGCCTCCTCGTGAGAAGCCCATCAGCTGAGGTCTTAGCAGTGGGGAAGATTGAACTGGGAACTTTCAGGTGTCCCTTAAATGAAGCTGTTAGGTCTTGGGTACCCATTTGAAACCAAGCCAGTCCAAAGTACTTTACAATCATCATCATTGTGAGTGATGGCAGTACATGAACCTGCCTTCTTCCTTGAACACCTTCCTTAAACAATTTCAAACATCTCATCAAGGAAGAGGCAGTGTTCTTAGTGAGGTCTACCTGACCATAATATTATCATATTTTCACCTCCCAGTTAAGATGGTTCTTTGTTCCATGGCCCTTAACGGGAGCTGATTTTGAAAGTTCATCTTTAAGCTGGATGACTACCCTTATATTTATTTGTCTGACGAAGGTTGTTTCATATTATGTTTTCTGTTTATCTTATTTTTTTTGCCTTGCTTCATGTTATGCCTTGTGTTTATCATGTTCACAGTTTCATTGGAAGATGCTTTGCCTTTCTCTTTCTCCCTCATTTAAAGGGCATTCATAAAATGTCATTAACGAAACCAACAGCAAACATGTTGTTGCTGCCAGAATCCGTTCCTCTGCCAGCTATTGTGGGGGTTCCAGGAAAGCTCCGAAGTCTGAGAGAGGTGGTGTCAGGGGATGTCAGAATCCCTGCCCATCAAAAAGTGCTGATGTTCTGATACTGTGACCCCTAGCACAACTGCAACACTGGGTGTAGCTCCATCTCTGATTGACTGTTACCCCGGCAATCCTCAACTCAACAGCAGATACACGACAACTATATTTCTTATGCATGGTTTGATAAACAGGTTTTTTTGCTGTGTTGGGCAAGTTCCATGTCATATATAAAGGTCAAGCCAAAGAAAAGGCCATTGAGTTGCTCCAGGATAACAAAGCAGGCTTTCTTTTAATATCCTTGCTTGTATATTGCTTATGATCTGCGCAGTCTGGAATCTCAACCTCTGTGATGCCTCTGTTGTAATGTCCGAAGGGAGGAACTCAAGCCTCTTTCTGTTTTATCCCCTTATTTCTTTCTTGTGAAGTTCAGTCTTACACTATTAGCAGATTCACTACCCCGCAAACCCAGAGTCACCAGATACCCCCTGGACTGCTCCAGCATCTACAGTGGTGCCCCGCTTGACGACGATAATCTGTTCCAGGAAAATCGCTGTTAAGCGAAATCGTCATCAAGCAAAAAAAAAAAAACCTCATTGGAATGCATTGAAAACTGGTCAATGCGTTCCAGTGGGGGAAATACCTCATCGTCCAGCGAAGATTGCCCATAGAGAACCGCCGATCAGCTGTTCTAATTCGCTGTAATGCGAAGCTTCCGTCCAGAAAGCAGCCATGTTGAGAAGGGAGGGAAGCCATTTTGCGGAGCCGGAAAAAACATCGTTTTGTGAACAAACGGTTCACAAAAGCAGGCTCCTAATTAAAGTAATGCGAAAAAACCCATTGGAACATCGTTTTGCGATGTCATCGTCAAGCAATTTCAACATCATGCGGGGTAAGCGTCTAGCGGGGCACCACTGTATTTTGAACCCAAGATTAAGCTGCAAGCCAGGAACGGGTTTTGTAGCTGGAACTGGGGGTGCCTCTTTCTATTAACCTCATACTCAAGGTGCCCGCTGGTCCAAGCCTTACACTGAAATAAGGTATTCTCATTCCACAGGGTACATATATTTCGGATGGGATGTGTCTTTGGTTTGCCGTGGCTGCTTATAACAGCAGATGAGTGGTGATGACTGTGATGTAGAGGGGCATCAAACCTGCTCCAGGGTTTAATCTAAACTCCTCAGGATCTCTCCAAGGTGCTGAATCGCCTCCCCCTCCCCAGAAGGAGGCTCTGCACCTTGAATGGCGTTCCTGTTAAAACCCAGAGCAGATTTAAGTTCCAAAATAAGGCCCTCCTTTGTGTCACTTGGCTGGCTGGATAGCTCAACCAGTTGAGTGCCTGTCTGCAGAACTAGAGGTCAAGAGTTCAATTCCCCTTTGAGGAGAGAGAAGATCCAGTCTGTGTAAAACTGCACAGTGCCATAGGACGACCAAAGGAAGAAAATAGTAAACCATTCTGAGTCCTTTATGCCTAGAAAAGGGTCAATATAAGCCAGGATCAACTTGACCCTAGAAAAGGTTGGAGTCTTTCCCTACCTGATCCATGGATGTCAGGGCTTGAATCCGGGAGCTTCTGAACACCATGCATGAGCATAGTGGTCTTCCTTCATGCAAGAGAGCATAGAGCAAGTGCTTTCCTCTCTAGATACGTGGACACC